ACTCATGAACCTCTTGTTCCTCATTATCATTCATAATGAATGTATGTTCTTGAAGATCACCTTCTTCTGTGACATTAGTTTGAGGATCACCCGGTTCAATTTCGCTTTCATATCCACCCAGCTTAGATCTTCTCGGAGTAAGCTTTTTGACAATATTAGTACATATGGAATTGGTTTTCTCCAGAGATGGACTATTTGTGCAAAAAGAGTTGTTGGTTGGATTCAATGCTCCCCCACTTTCACTTAATACCCATCTTTCATTCTGCCCAACATTTCTTTCAGTTGGATGTATGACATAGCAGTCAACAGTCCTACTTTTCAACACTAAATTGTACATTTCCCTAATCTCACTATCCACCTTAACCCTCCGTAGACCTTCCTGAAATCCCATACCTGGAATGAGATAATATATCTCATCTACATCAGAGAAATTCACACAACTCTTAGCAAACTCTTCTAACCACCACCAACAAAGCTCATCTGCATCAATAGCAAAATTCCTATATTCACCACCAGTATACTGCACAATTCCATTTTTATTCTTCTTAAATTCACCTCCATACCAATACTTCAGAGTAACAGAAGTCCAATCACCCATATGTTATACTCAAAACCTAGTTTTATGATGAAAAAAAGTAAAAACAGGGATTAGGATATAACATTATTTGTGTACAAAGTACAATAGAATATTATTAACAATTTACACAAAACAATATGACTTGAAAAATAATAACCTAAAATGAGTAGATTTTAATTTTAAAGGCAAAGATAAGCACTCTTTGTTAAAAACAAGATATACCCAGTACATGTTAAGTCATAATAATAGGATGAAGGAATTAGGTTTCAATGAAAAGAATCGTTAGTGGGCAGATTGTCAAAGTATTGAATAGATTCATTCCAGGATGTGGCAAAGCATTGTTTGTCAAAGTAAATATACTGCCAACAAATAGATGAATCTGCCACTTTGTCAATATATAGAAAAACCACATCTGGAATGAATCTATACACTTTCACAATCAGGTTGCTTTGGCGTCAATATTTAATTTTACCTGGACGTGTCGCTTCTTCTCTGAATCAATAGCAAATTTTTTGCTTTTGGATCGATTTCCTGAACATCCTTCCCGCTCAACACTTTTTCTTCTGCGTATCTTAATGACCAGTAATACTTCACGTAAACATGAGCTTGTGCTTTAGTTTGATAGAATTAAAAGATACATTAACCTGTACAATCGGTTACAAAGGATTGGGAGTATTTTGAGATGTTTTTTTATTAAGAAGGATTATTTTGAAATAATCAATACTTGGGTTTATTTCAAGCGGACATGGAATAGTTGGGATTATTCTGATCAAATTTTCCTATTGATTTTGACTAGAACACTATTGAAACATTGTGAAATTTGTAACAATGTGTACTACTTTTCCATTCGACTGTTACAAACATTTGGAAACATCTTTTCCAAAATGTTCCAATGTGTACAAGATATTTTGGGGCACACCCGTTTTAAAAATTTGATAAGTGACGGGAAACATGTGGAAAAGATGTTTCCAAATGTTTGTAACAGTCAAATGGAAAAGTAGTACAATCTTATATAGTTTCTTGATGTAACAATATATCACAATATTGATTTTGATTAAAAAATTGTAACAGTCGAATGGAAAATTTGTAACATATACAACTGCAATTTATATGCTCTCCCCGTCTATGGAGGTGTTCTTTGACATCTCTGCGCAGAGACCGATGATAAAAATTATATGTAATTTCTACAGTAAGTATATTAGAATTATTGTAAGAAGGGAAAAGGGGCAAATAAGCCCTCGAACTAACTAAAAAAGTGAAAATCACCCCTTATATAGGAGGCTATGTCCAGCCGTCCTCATTTGGGGAGGTTCCCGGTGGAATTTTTTGATGAAATTTTTTGAGCATTTTTTCATTAAGTCTAGTTTATCCATACCAAATTTCAGCTAAAAATAAAACCGGGAAGGCAGTCAAATGATTTTTGGAAATATACTGCACTGTTTAACTGCACCGTTATCTTCAAAAGTTCATTTGACTGTGTTAATTCTATTTTGAGAATTCCCTTTTGTAGTGCTCCAGTTTTGACTTCTTCTTTCCACTCTATGTCCTTATCACCTTTGTTGTTGATCTTTCCTTTCCTTTTTCAGAGTAGTAGTATCCCCAAGTGATATCATTTAAACTCTACATCCATCTTTTGATATTCATAAGAACCTCTTGATATCATCCAAGGTTGATGAGTATCAATTGATAATTAATGAAACCATTAGATTTCAGTCGTGTTTATTCTGCTTGAATTCACCCTTTATATCATTGAATCTCTTCTGGACCTTTTAACCTCAATATCAGATAAGCATAATGACCATAGGATAAGTGTTTGGTCATATACTTGGTTTGTCCAGGTATGGATTTTTCTGTGAAGAATATGGACATCAACAAGTATATTTTCCAGCTTAGTGCAGTGGTTGACTTCTCAAAAAAATGTTGTCAACTGGATCTTCTGGGATTTTGAGTAAGGAAGGTTCTTTGGTATGAGAGTAGGGATAAGGTGAATCATGTAGTGATGTGAGAACACATAGTTGGTTACTGATCTATATTTGGACAGGGTTGCAAAACAGATAGATTAGTATGGGACTGTTTACTAACAGAGATATTTTCCAGTTTTCCAGAAAACTGGAAAACTGGAAAACAGAAAACAGGAAATGTGTTTACCAAAGAAATTGCTGGAAAACTGGAAAAAGGAAAAAAGAAAAACGTGTTTACCAAATCGTTTTCCAAAACGGAAAAAATGAGACATGTCTCTCTTTTCCTTAATGATTTGGAGAAGTGACTTTTACTAGTTTGGGAAAAGGTGCAAATAGGCCCATGTACTAATTAAAAAAGGTCAAATAAGCCCTTATTTAGGAGGCTCTGTCCGGCCGTCGCCATTTGGGGTGGTTCCCGGTGGAATTTTTTGATGAATTTTTTTGAGCATCTTATTCATTAAGTCTAGTTTACTCATACCAAATTTCAGCTAAAACTTCAATCGGGAAGACATTCAAATGAATTCAATCGGGAAGCGTAGTTATCTTCAAGAATTACAATAGTGATTCTATCTAAGGCCCTGAGTATCAAAATGCTAACCCTTTACAACGTAGTTAATGCATCTATTTATACTTGAAAGGGGTAGATGGGGTGATGACGTGGCCGAACCCGGTTGGTTGCTGCCTTTGCCACTTGAGCACTCATGCCTCCACTAGCCACCGCCATACTTTAGCATTAAATGCTGCCTGCCACTTGTAAACTCCTCGATCGGGCTTCCCGTTCAGGATTGGATCCTACGGGCCGATGGGCAAGTGCTGTGCTCCGTTATTTGCTTCAAGGTGGATAATTGCACTGTTCGGGATATATTGAACGGTATCTCCCTTGGTGGACAGGATCCCATTCGGGTTCCCATTACGTCGTACTGCGTTCCCTTTGGGCTTGTCCCTTTGTTTGGGCCCTTAGCTATTTTGGGCCGGATTATTGGGCTTCGGCCCAATATCCCAACAGGTAAGCTTATCCTTTATAAAATACTCAACTACCTTTCTTTATCTAATTTTTATCTTCGCTTTTATACTTTTACACACTCTCTTACTTTTTCTAAATTATTCACTACCCTTACTATTCTATCCTAAAATATTGTGCCAAAAGCAAATGTAGGGAAAATGGAGTATGATTTTTCACTTAGAACTTTGAAGTTTATTTATTGTGACCTACTCCGTACTCCGTATCTTTTTTTTTTGCAACCTATTAAAAAGTATATTTGTGTATGGAAAATGCTAGGGGTACACAATTTGTACACACAATGTCGGTCACAGACAATTGGTACGGAGTTGCCTGTGACCACAGACAAGAGTTGTCTGTCTCCACGGACATTTACTTTTTTGTAAAAAGTACTTGTCAGTGTCAGGTAGGGGTGAGTTCGGTTCTTTCGGTTCGGTTTTGACCTAAAACCAAATACGGAACCAAAGTAAAAGTTCGGTTCGGTTTCGGTTCGGTTTTACACTCCAAAACTTTTAACCACAGTTTGATCGGTTCGGTTTGTTTCGGTTCGGTTTTGGTTCTTTCGGTTTTTTACAAAAAATTTGTCATTTGATTTAAAATTGATATAATAGTTGGAGGGCTCAAACATCTTACATAAAAAAATGCAAGCATACTAGAATAAATGAAGTAAAAATAAGAATAAATAAATATGTCTTGAATTATATGAGTATGCGGAAGACGTATAAGTGTATACATTCTTACTTTACATTGTTTGTGACTAGTTTGAAAAAAGTTCATGAATACATACGTCCTATGTGATATATAGCTGAGATGAATATTTATTTGTTTTATCGATATAAAAAATTAAGTTACATAAAAATAAAATTTAATTAATACTAATAACCAGTAAAAACAATAATCGTGCAAAAAATTGCAACATACATACATAAAAGACATAATCGATCAATATAGCTACATTATTATGGGCAATGAATGTGTAAATGCATTTACAAACTAAACTATACTAAACATAACACAAACATTATTTCTGTAGCATATGAAAATCAAAGACTATTGATGATAGTAGGATTAATGCTTAAAAATTAACAAATAGAATTTCATATTTTAAATAGTTCGGTTTGTTCGGTCCGGTTCGGTTTTGAAGGATAAAAACCAAAACCTAACCAAACAATTACGGTTCGGTTCGGTTTTTTACGTTCGGCTTCGGTTTTTAGCAGTTCAGTTTTATTTGGTCGCGGTTCGGTTTAATTTGATTCGGTTTCCGGTTTTCGATTTTCCGGACACAGCCCTAGTATCAGGCGGCTCTCAGTGTACTTTTTCAAAAAAAGTAAATGTCTGTGGAGACAGACAAAATTTATCTGTGTATACAAACAACTCTTGTCTGTGTTCACAGGCAACTCCGTACCAATTGTCTCTGACCGACATGTAGAAGTTGTGTACAACTGCCATTTTCCATTTGTGTATTACTCAAATCATGTTTCACTTTAGGATTTTCTTTTTCTCTCTCAAATCATGGACATCGACAACGACATCTCAGGGTGGATTCTTGAATTCATCCTCCGGCAATCGCTCGACGATGCAACGCTGACGGCTCTTATTCGTGTGCTCCCAGCTCCTCTGAACTACAATCGGCGTCTAGCGAAAATAGTCCTTCTAAGAGAAATCGAGTCAAATATTTCAAACGGTTCCGTTTCTGAGAAAACAGTCGGTCTCCTTGAAAAATACGAGGAGATAGATTTTCAGGAAGGAATCAAAGCTTCGGAAGCTTTGAGGGAAGCGTATTGTGCTGTGGCAGTGGATTGCACTGTGAGGGTTTTGAAGAATGGCAGTGAGGAGAGTGTTAAAGCTGAGTATTTAGATGCCGTGAAGAGAATATGGAGCCGCAGGATATGTAGAATGGAAAAGGAGGAAAGCGCAGGTCTTTTGTCCGAGGATTTGTTAGAATGGAGAGAACTAATTGAGACAACTGCCTGGGAAGACATTGATTTTGATAATGTGATGAGAGTGAGTGAAGCGCTTGATGCTGTTGGGGCTGTGAAAGTGTTTGTTAAGGAAGCAATGGAGAAAATGGGCCCTTCATTTCTGGAATACATGGCTGAGACTCTTGGGAGAGAGAATAACAGTAGGGAGTCTCTTCTATCACAGAATGAAGAAGACCAGGGCCAAATTGCAGGGAAGGTCTCAGCTTTGCCAAGTTATGCCCAAATGCCTACCCATCCAAACAATGACACAGGTAGTTTGGTATTTTTATCTCATTTCTCTACAAGAAGTGGTGATTAGATGCATAGAATTGATTAGGGGAATTGAAGTCTGCAACTTTTTCGTCTATATTTAAGTTTGCATGGCATTTTTTAAACATTAATATTTGCATCACAAGCTAGAATATTCTGCAAATAATGAGGAATCTCCAATCAGGATTGAATTTGCCGTGCAAAGTCTCGAATTTGTGGTTCAATGTCTCAAATTTGAGGTGCAAATAGACAAATAGTGATGGTTCAGAAATGGGGTGCAAACGTTAATGGTACAAAAATGGGATGAGAACTTAAATAAAGATGGAAATGTGGGGTGGCAAACACCAATCCCCTCAATTGATTATGACAGTACTGTATTAAACTATACAACTTTTATTGATTACACAAGCTGTCTATACAATTGCACCCTGGTTACTTTATCTATTAGTTAAAATTTGTTATGCTTGTAAATGCTGATGTTTTCATGTAATTGTAGTGTCTAGAGTGTTGGGGTTGAGCAATTCATACTCGTTCATTATGATTTTTTTGTTTTCTCTTCCTTAGGTAGTCAATGGCGTAAATGGCGATCGCCATTTCTCGCCTTTGGCGATTCAGGGGGTCTTCGCCACAAATTTTGGCTATGGCGCAGGGGTTACCTGTTGCGCTGCCAAATGTGCGCTATCGCCTCGCTCTCGCCATTTTGCGCCAAATAATGGCGCTATCGCACGCGTCTGGGTCGCGACTTCGGTTTGATGGTCGCAGTCGCTGTAGTTGGTTGCCGTCGTAGTCACTGTACCTGGTCGCCGTCGCAGTCGCTGTACCTGGTCGCCGTCGCTGTAGCTGGTCGCGTGGCTGTTGATTGTTGCTGAAATTGGTCGCCGACTCTAATCGCTTGTCATCCACGCAGACTGCTTGCTTCGTGGTTTTAGTTCTCCTTTTGAGATTGAAGTCTGGCAAAATTACTTAAAAGCCTTTCTCTAAAACCCGTTCTCTTTTTTTTGGTAAAGTTAAAAGCAGACAAGCAGTTCTCTATTTCTCTTTGTTTTTCACATGCTCTCATTTTTTGTGTGCCAGTTGACTGGAAGGTTGGACCATATCAGTTATTTAATTTAATTTGGAATATTTTTTGGTGCTATTTTGACAATTTAAAAATTTAACTCTTTAATTGGTGTATAAGTCATACACGTATATTGTGTATAGGTAATGTTTAAATTTTTTTGATGTTGTGTTTTACTGGTGCGCCATTTTAACGCCATTTTAGCGCCATCGCCATCGCCGTGTGAATTTACCCCTGCGCCATTCCGGTCGCCGTGCGCCGTGACTACTATGCTTAGGTCCCAAATCATTTGATAAAAATAAAACTATTACTCTGTCCGTCCAAAAAAATATGTTCAGAAGTGTGTCGGAAACTCAGAAACTTCGAATTCCTGTTTTGGGCTGTTTCTGTGATTGAAACGCCCATATCCCTAAATACCGAGGCAAGCATAGCTAAGTGTGGAACTGTTCGTACCATAGATGTGTAGAAAACACTTTGTAACAAGGCTGGGGACAATTCTCTTAAAAGTTTATTTGATGTTGTACACCGAAGATGATATTGTTAATATTATTATAGATCTTGTCCCATATTGACTAAACAAAATGCAAGAAGCTAACATATAACGTTACGAGTTACTTCTGTTAGGTTGATGTTTTAGAATGGAACCTCTTAACTATAAATTTCAATACACAGTGTTGATGCTGATTTTGTTATTGATGAAGTTTTGTGGTTTTTTAATCTGGTCAAGCACAACTTTGAATATATCGAGCAACTTGTATAAGAAAGAAGATACTGATTTTTTAGAACTCCCAGCCCACCCCATATTCAATTATTGGGTCCGTCACCGGAAAAAAGGAAAATCAGTGGCAGAGCACAAACATCTTGCGTGTAAGCGCAGAGTTACCCTGGACGGGACATCTAGAGGAGCTAAGGTTGATGATACTGATAGTTTGAGAGCTGAGACATCAAACAGACAGTATAGTTTAGTAGATACCCCTGAGGTCAATATTGCACAAGAAGAACTTGTGAAAAGTTCCTTGGGTTTACAAGCTGTTGTCATGGATCCACTCCCAAATGCTCTACTCGTTGCTGCAAATATTGATAATCAACCTTCGCAAAAAAATCGTAATACCACTACTCCTGTGGTTAGTTGCTTTGGCGGTGTTATTCAAACAAGTGAGAGAAATATCAGTAACCAGAACAGCCCACGTCAGGTTAACCCGTCCAAGCAAAGGTTGATGGAGCGGAACAGTACGGCCAATGTATTTGAGGTGAATATTCTTGTACCTTCATTGTGTAATAATCAATTTATTAAACTATCCATGCAAACAATAGAAAAGGTATGTAATCTAAGTTTGTCAATTGTGAATTGCGACTGAATTTAGAAGATAATTGATGATTGTTACAGAAAGATCCATAAATGGGGCACTCATATAAAGAATTGAATTCACTAGTTCATGTAAGATATTGCTCACACTGTGATAAGGGCAATTTTCTTATACGCTGGCCATCCCAGATTTTTTCCTTTGTTTTCAGCAGATGTATCTCAGTAGATCCATGGGTGTAACACTTTGCCCAGTTGGCATCTACAACCATCAAAATGCTATTTGGGGGATTTTATCAAGAACGTGAGGGGGTGATTGATTTGTTTTTTACTAATTTATCTCTATTTATGTATTTTAATTCCAGACAGTTTTTTTTGTCCAACTAAGGTTTCTGCCTGATATCAAAGCTTCCGGACGGATTTGAATGATACAAAATACACTCATAAAGATGAAAGATCGCAGCTGATTAATTTTAATCTGTAATATAGTTTTAAGAATTATAGTAACAATGCTTTAAAATAAGATGCGAAATGAATAGTAAGTTGCACAAATCCACGAGAAGTTAGAATATTGTAGTGGAAGGAAAGTAGATTGATTCTCAATAGCGGCTTAGGATGTTTTTACTTGGACTATTTTTAGCCCCAGACTAGATTTAAACAGACCAGACCAAACTTAAACGGACCAGACAAGACTTCCATAGCTATAAAATACAGAGACCAAACATTTACCAGACTAGTTCAGACCAGACAAGACCATCAAATTTCAGTCCAAGTAAAACATCCATAAATTCGAAAACGATAGATGCTATTTAAGAATGACATAAAGGATAAACTAGTTTTATCGTTCAAGATTTTTTTCTTTGAAGCCTTATTAGAAAGTAATACCTCTCCCCTTTAACCCCTCCAAATCCTCCAACCAAACAAGGGCTAAGTAATGTAAGGTGCAAATTCAGTTCAATAAGATCCTCATACAAACAGTCCATTGGATACACTTTTGAACTAGTTCCATTATATATGTAATGGATTAGTGCGCACATGTCAATTTTTAAATGTATCAACTTCTAGCATGGATCTGCAACAAATGTGGTACTACATTTTGGAGGGGAAGAGTTATTAATAAATTTTAAGAATATGATGCTTAAATATGAAAGTTTATTTAAAAATTAAAATATAAACTAATCATTTAGTATGACCAAAGTGTTTGGTCATTTATTTACTTTAATAGCCACATTGTTCTCTTCATTCTATAACAATAAAAAGCAACCCCTACCCCGTACTCTTACACCTTTGCGCATTTAGGGCTCATATATCCCATAACTGGAACATAATTCCTATTATTGTCATATTAGCGTGTAGACGCTAGGATGGTAGATTAGATGTTTGTCTGCATACTTCCTGATATGTTTGGGAACTTCCAATTCTTTCTATGCAGTGGGATGATAGTGTAAATGGCTCGTATGAAGGATCACCCAGATGTGAAAAGAGACCTAAGTTACCAAGTGTAGAAAAAAAGGATGTTTCCCCTTTGCAGGAGTATCAAATGAAAAATTTGAAAAAGAGGAGAAAATTAAAAAAGTGGAGCTCAATAGAAGAAGACACATTGAGGACAGGTGTTCAAAAGTATGTGATTGGTTTTTAGCTTATGAAGACAATGCTATTTCCTTCAGCAAATACCTGATCTATTTGTTCAACCATAAACTCACTGAAATTGGTCTGTCACCATTTGTTTGGTATCAGTTTGGTTTTCAGTTATGAATTTTGACCCGATTTAGTCCTCATGCATATTTTGTTCTAAATAAGAGGAATATTATAATCTATTCTCGAATTTTATGACTCAATTTGGTCAAAATCATGTAATTTAAATCAAAAGTTGGTCATCAGCGCATACAAATACCCTTGTTTTTTAGAACAAGAAGTTTACGAAGAACAAGTTAAGTCTAGATTGCAAAGTTGAGGACCAACTTGTGTCTGAAAGAAAGGCAAGACTAATTTAAGTAATAGTTTGTAGTCCAGAGACTGAATAGGATGTTAACTCTAAGATCCACATTAAGGAAGCCATTTTGTATGTTTCTTGAAGGTTTGGACGGGGAAATTGGAAACTCATTCTACAAGCTTATGGAGACATTTTTGAAGAAAGGACAGAGGTGAGCATCTTGATGTTGCTGGTGGCTATTATGATACGCTTCTTGGTAGTAAGATCGAGTATTTTTATTCAGGTTGATTTAAAGGACAAGTGGAGGAATATGACGCGATAGGGATGTTCTCTGGGATATTCTTTATATGAATAATAGGTAAGTCTTCTTGAAATGGTTTACAACGTTTTCTGTATCAAACTTCAAACAAGAAGCTTATTGCATTATCATTTCTACTTGCTTGGTTAGATTGTGTACCAGCATTTTATTCCAAGATGATGATTGGTTCAACTCGTGGCACCAATCCTGTTGGGGAAATGGCTGATCGATTGTAAAGTTGTAAGCCATTTATGGGCCGTAGTTTGATCCGGTTTGGCTGGTTGACTGGCTAAAACGGGCGTTGGTAATGCAGCTGCATTGACATAGCCTTTCCATAAAAAAATTTGTTCTGCCAGACGCTGCAAGTAAATGCATTTTTGTTACTCCAAATTTGATAGATGTAATATTATACTCTCTATCCTGCGATAGGTGACATTCTAGATATTTTACGTAGATTCATTATGTAAATTACTCAAATAATAAGAAACTTTTCAAAAAGGAATGTGTCAACTGTCAATTACTGCAGAACAAGAGAGTATTTATCAAAAAAGAAAAGTATCAAGCGTTCAAGTAAATGGAGAGTGAGGCAAGAAATTAAATATGGAGGTGGGCATGTTTACTTCGGATTTTTAGAATATGAAAACTTTGATTTCTCTTCAGTCCCTACTCCCTACAGAGTTCTTTAGTTATAATGGCGGACATGGACCAGTTCTAGTCAAGTGGTCTGTTTGGCGTCGCAAATTACTGAAGTCCTAACTGCAACATGAATTTTGAGCACAATCCAGTCATGATTAGGGGTGGACTGGTTCCGGTTCGGGCCTGGGCCTGGCCGGGCCTCGGTTCAGAAAAATGAGGCCCGAGCCCGAACCGGTAGGGGGCAGTTCCGGGCCACCCGGATTTTTAATTTTTTTTTCTTCTCTTATTTAACCCCCTACCCCTCCCTCTCCACCCCAAACCACTTCAAATGGCCCAAAATACCTAATCCAACCCAAAACTTAAAAAAATTTCCAAAAAAAAAAATTAAATTAAATTCCGGCCCGAACCGGGCCCGGCCGGGCCGGTTCACTAAACTGGAGACCCGGGCCCGGACCGCTATACCACCGGGCCGGAAGGCCCGAACCGGGCACGAACCGGTTGACCGGGCCGGTCCGGGCCCGCACAGTAGCGGGCTGGTCCGGTTCCGGGCCGGTTGGCCCGACCCGAGTCCATCCCTAGTCATGATAACAACTTGTTTTAAGTTTGGTCTCAAACCAGCCCAAATATATGCGCATTAAAAACAAACAAAATAATCGGGCTGAAAGCCTGAAACCAATCTGGTCCATTCCCATTTTAGTCTTTAGTGGAACCAAAATCGTTTTTGAACTTTTTATTGAATTAATTTGCCTGGGTTTTGTACATAAGTACATAACCCAAAAGTCCTGTAAAATCGTTTAAAAAACGCAAACTTTCATATTTCAGGAATGACAATAGTGTTGGACTTGGGCCGGGTGGCCCGACCCGGCCCGGTGGCCTGGCGGCCCGGCCAGTACCCGGGTAGGCCCGGCCCGGGGGGTTCCCGGTGCATGCTCGGGCCACCCAAAAGCCGAACCAGCCGGGCCGGTTCGGGCCCGGTTTCGGGCTTTTTAATTTTTTTTTTTCAATTTTTTTTAACTTTTCGGGTTGGGTTGGGTTGTGTATTTTGGGCCATTTGGGGTGGTTGGGGGTGAGGGGGTGGGGGGTTAATCAGGAAAAGGAAAAAAAAAAAAAGACACGAGGCTCGGCCCGGACCCGGTGGTTACCCGGGCCGGTCCCGGTTCATCCTTCCCAAAAAAAAAAAAGCCCGGTCGGGCCCGGCCCGGAACTGGACCGGCCCGGAACCGGAACTGGCCCGGCCCGGGTCCATGACTAAATGAGAACAAGAAATTCTCACTAAGATTGTCTCATACCAAATTTAGTAAATTTTGTGTAACTCTAAATCATTCTTACTTTATTTTTACTTTTTTAATTCAATATCTACCACATAAACTCACTTTTCTTTATAATCATGTCACCTTCTTTCGTGCCAATGTTAATGGGACGGGATGTAGTATGATTTAGTACTCCGGCGTATATTGTTGTGAATTAGTTTTAGACTATATTTGGCACATGCAACCAGGGGCGGAGCCAGAAAAATGACTCAGCGGAGTCGAAATCAAATTTACATAAAATCAAAACGGTAGATTATTTTTAGACAATACCCGAATTGAATGTAGCTTAGATTAATGATAGTTTAAATGAAACTAATAGAGTATATGTAGTTAATATACTTCGTATATGTCACATATATTATAAACATGTTTTATACGGGTTGAGTTGAGTACTCTATGGTTCTCTTCGATCTTACTCGGTTTAGTATAAAGATTTCTTACTAGAAAAGAATCATTTATTGAGTAGGTACTCGTGGCAGTAAGATATGTTGTATTTGCTCTGTCCGTAAGTCATGTCACGTAAGTAACGAGTGAATTACACGCTATTTTGTGAATATAATTAATATTATGCATCACAATTTTACTAATTACAAACTTAAATAGTGCTGATTTTGCAGAAGTCATAATTTTTTACTCGTAATGAGTTACGAGAACCATAATATATCAAATCGAAGATATTTCAATGCTCCGCCCCTACATGCAACGAGCTGTAGCTGGAGACTATTGTCTGAATTAAGAGTTATTGTCTGAATTAAAGACTATTGTCTGGAGCTGAAATTCGAAATGCTGTATCTGAAGTTCTAACTGGATGAGGTAGACCTGTTTGGCAAAAAGGGCTGAAAAATGGCCGGATAGTATGAAGCTACATATAAGGACATATTTATTAATAGAACAAAATATTTATTATAACGATTTTCATATTTTTAATAAATAATAAAATTTCAATATATATGTTTATAGAGTTTTTGTCACTTTTAGTCCTCCAACTATTATGTCATTGACACTTTTGATACTCGATTTTGAATTTTTCCATTTTCAGTCCTCCGGTTATTATGTCATTGACACTTTTGATACTTGACTTTGAGTTTTTTTCCACATTTAGTCTTTCGACTTTCATAAATTTGACACTTTTGATCCTTCAACTATTATAATAATGACATTTTTAGTCCCCCATTTATTGTGTCAAATTCATAGTGGACGGACTAAAAGTGTCAATTTTATACGAAGTAATACTCAGGAGACTAAATGTGGAAAACATTGAAGTGTCTATCGCACAATAATTGAGGACTAAATATGGAAAAATTGAAAGTCAAATACCAAAAATGTCACTGACCCAATAGTTGAGGGACCGGAAATGAAAAAAACATGTTTATATATGTAAATTGAGTTTCATGGCTAGAGAATGATGTATTCGATCCGTGCAATTTTCCCCTCAATTTATTAGGAATTTTACCGAATTGAGTTGTGATACTAGTATTTTATTAAATCAAACTCTAATGAAATAAAATGTACATGAAAGATGCTGCTATTACGGTCTATAGTCTATAGATGCTGCTATTACGGTATAGTCTATACATTGGGGATAAGAGTCCGTTTGGTCCTCGAAGTTGCAAAAAAGGGGTCTAATAAGTCTTTATAAAGAAGATTATGTCCGGACGTGCCATTTGAGGTGGCTTCCGGTGTATTTTTTTGATGATTTTTTTGACCATCTTATTCATTAAGTCTAGTTCACTCATACCAAATTTCAGATAAAAATTCAATCGGGAAGACATTCAAATGATTTCTTGAAGATAACTGTGCCGTTATAAGCGCAGTTATCTTCAAGAATTCATTTGAATGTCTTCCCGATTGAATTTTTAGCTTAAATTTGGTATGAGTAAACTAGATTTAATGAATAAGATGCTCAAAAAAAATTTATCAAAAAAATCACCGGGAGCCACCTCAAATGGCACGTACGGACAGAATCTTCTATATAAAGACTTATTTGACTCCTTTTTTGCAACTTCGAGGACCAAACTGACCCTTTACTCGGCACAAATGACATCAGCCTAACCTCATTCCCAGCAAGACTGCATAGAGTCATAGAGACATATGGTACTACAAAATAAGGTTTATCCCTTAACTTGAAAATAAATTTATGCTCCTTGAATTATTGCTATTTTGAGGCCTCTATTTTTGTGAGTCTTTTCCTGTATTTACTCATTTTTCATTTTATTGCTCTAAAAAACTTGTTGCTATTTTGTTTTAGCACGTATTGCAATTCTGTTAACGTTCACAATCCTAAGACTACTGATTCAAAGCAAGGACCACCACCAAATTGAATTTACAGAATGCTCTCTAAAATTAGAACTGTACTAATCCCTTAGATCGAGTATATAAGAAATGCCACTACAAAAGGAATCTTGAAGAACACTAAAGTGTCTACCTTTTATAGAGTATGTCTTGTTGGGTTTCGGGCAGAAAAACGCAGCGGAATAAACAAAAAATTTTACTACCCAAAAGTAAACAAACGGATCTGAGGTTCTTATTATAAACGAAATTACAAGAATTTAAGAGGGACTTACATAACAATCTTAATCAGAGATGTCAGACAGTCCGAGAAAACGATCCCGAGCTCTACCGGTATCCACACGCACGTGACTGGATCGGCCGCAGGGAACGTGCTAGCGTTCTCTTCTTTCTTCCTCTCTATTCTAGGTTTAAGAAGTGAATTTTAACTCTTAAAATTCGTGGGTCTATATGGCCCTATTTATAAGAGGAGTAAAGAAGGGGTTTTATGACTAATAAAACCCTTAAAGAGGCCCCAGCCCAATACCATTCGAAAACCTATTTCGAATTGGGCTAATCAAGCTATTTTAATGTTATTAACAAACATTAATGATCCAAATCACTTAGGTGTGTGACCCTGTAGGTTTATATATTATTGGTAGTGGGCTAGAAATTAATTCGAGCTTCACAAATCATAAGCGGTCTCTAGCAAGGCATTATGACTATCCAAAATATATAAATGTCAATTAAATCTGACATAACCTTTTAATGATTAATTTGTGCTAACAATTCTCTTTTTTGTCAAACGATATCTTAATTGAGACAAGGTTAGGTCGTGTATCCTTTTTATTCTCAATTAATATTTCTTGATTACCAAGTAAGATTAATCTTGATCAAATGACACCTCATTTGAGCATGGCCATGCTAATTAATCTTACTTGTCAAGGGGCCCAATAGATATTTTTCTCTCGATGTACAAGAGTGACAAAAACTATCTTGATAATTCACATACTACTACATGGTTCATAATATGTACAATCACCACCTTTATAATTATCCAGTTAAAGATAACATTTAATGGTGTTAATACATATTAATTCCCATGCTAGTAACCATGATTATCTCAAGTATAAGAATATAGCACCTCATCATTATTGAGGACAACACTGATGACATATAACCTAGCAGTGTCCCCAAATTGGGTCTGTCCAATGAACTTGTTCCCTAACAAGCATCTATGTTATTAACTTGATATCTCTATACCCATGACTAGTGGAATATAACCATCAGTTAATCCACATACTGGTCTATTAATTATTAATGTCCCAAATTAATAATAGTAGACCAGAGACAATTAGAATATTATGTTTATTT